GGAGTTGAGGATGGCCTGGAGACAAGTCGTCAAGAATGACTCCCACATTTCTGGCTTGATCAAGGGAAGGAGGTGCCATTTAGTGATGGGAGGAAAATAGAGGGAGGAGCAGATTCAGAGAGAAACACAGGCTAGTTTCCAGTGTGTGGTGAGATGTCTGGTTAGATGTCAAGGAGGCATCTCAAGGACCGAGTCTGAGGCTGAGACAGAGGCTCCCAGTCAGAGGTGGAAATGTGGAGCACCTGGGAGACGGATGAGATTTTTAAAGCCCTATGAGTGGATTATTTCAACAAATATTTATCTATGTGCCAGGAACTAAGGATACAGTGGTGAACAAGACAGATGAAACCTCCTGCCTTCATTGAGCTCAGGATATGATACTGGGGAGAGGGGTAAGAAATACACAACCACACAGGGTGTCAGTGATCAATGTTGTAAATAAAGCAAAGGAAGGGATGGGGGAGGGTAGAAGGTTGCAATTTAAAATACTGTGGTCATGGGAGGCCTCACTGATGACATTTTAGCAAAGACCTGCAGGAGGAGAGGGAGCCAGCTGTGCAGATATCTGGGGAAATATGTTTCCAGGCAGAGGGAACTGTAGGTGCAAAGGCCCTGAGGCAGATGTGAGCCTGACACACTCACCCTCTAGCAATAGTGAGGAAGCCAGTGTGACGATGATGAAATGAATGAAGGGCAGCAGCAGAGGAGGAGATAAAGTCAGACTGTGAAGGCCGTGTTGTTCCTTGAAATAAATTTGGTGTTTACTGAGTGAAATGAGGAGCTATTGGAAGGTTCTGAGTGAAGGATCTAGTTTAACTTTTAACAGCATCATTCTGGCTGCTGGGTTGAGAAGAGACTGTAGGGGGACAAGGGCAGGAACAAGGAAACTAGTTAGTGGCTACTGCAATCATCCAGTTGAGAGACGTTGATAGCTTAGTCCAGAGTGGTAAAGGCAGAGGTGGTGAAGGATAGCTGAAATTTGACATGACTTGCTTCTGGGCAGGACGTGGCGTTTGAGAGAAAGGAAGGAGTAAAGATGACTTGGGGTTGGGGCCTGGGCAACCAGAAGAATGGAGTTCCCATTGACGGAGGTGGAGGTCAGGCTTGGGGATGGTCAGAGCTTCTTACTGGACTCGTACTGTGGGCTAGACCTCTGTATTTCCAATTGTCTTCCCAGCAAACTGTGGGCACACTGAGGGCAGGGATCATCCTGAGTTACTCCGCGCTTCAGCACCCAACCGGAGCCCCGACACAGAGCACAAGCTCAGAAAACGTTCCCCGCACAACAGATGTGTGGCTGAGGATGTTTAAATCCTGGACTGCAGGCCCTGATGCCTCTCGCCCCACACGACCAAAGCAGCACGTTAGTAGGACTTAAAAGACAAAATGAAACAAGAAAAAAACTGGGGGTTGTTTGTTGAAGAAAGTATAGAGACCAATTTGTCTTCTTTGCCTTATTACCTGCACGTTTTTGTTCTTCGCGGGCATTCTTCCATTCACTTTGCTGTTGCAAGGACCATTCTCTGTTTTGTTCCTGTTGGAATTTCTTCCTCTCGCGGAAGTTTAAATCCTCTCCCATGAATTTCTGCATTCCTGAAACCGTATTCCGAGCATCATTATCTGACTGCCGGGCTGGAAGGTCTTTCTTAAGGGCAAGGGGGTCAGAGAGGTCAAATTCACGGCAAGTTTCTGGCTTCTGAAAGTTCTGCTGGAAGTCATTGATAGCTTTACACAGATCTCTCCTCTCTCTCCTTTCCCGCTCTTCTAATATGCATGCGATTTTGTCATTTTGCCTCATTTCAGCAGCTAGAAGAGACATAGCACATCCATAAGCTTCAGATTCAGTGGAAAAAAAAAATTTCAATCCACCTTAAAAAATAATTTTTTGATATTTTTGATTCTAAAAATAATTCGAAAGGTAATTAGAATGGCTAAAAGTAATTATGCACTTTCACCTTAGTAAAAGTGATTCTAAAAGTAATACCACCCTTCAAAAAGGTAACACAATCATTAAAGGATTAGTATCCTGAATATACAAAAAGCACCTACAAATCAATTTAAAGAAACCTGAATGATCAATAATCTTGTAAAAAGATGATCAGCCTCATAAGATGGGAAATATCCAAGGAATTGGCAAAATATTTAAAATGCTATTAACAGCACATTTTAGTAAGGATGTGGGGAAACAAGCGTTCTCATTCACTGCTTGTGGGAGTGTAACGTGGTATACTTATAATTTTGGAAAGCAATTTTCCAATATCTCATAAAACTAAAAACCTACAAATCCTATGACCTATCAATTCCACTTCTAGGGATCTCTCACTCACGTACACTGGGGACATAATGCATGGAGAATCATTGTAGCATTGTTTGTGGTTATAAAAAAACTGGAAAAAATCTAAATCAGCCATCAGTAGGGGAATGGATAAAGAAATTGTGGTTAAGTCATATAACAAAATATCATAAAACAATTAAAATTATATGTAGATCACTGAATAATTCCAAAAATACACTGGTGAATTTAAAAAAGTGTTATAAAAGGATCCATTCAATATGATACCGTTGATGTACAATTTTGAAACACATTGTCATGGATACACACACAAATAGTACAAGTACAAAAAACATGCAGGGGAGTGATGACAACACTGAGGAGGGAGGGCAAGGAAACTGATGAGGGCGGGGAGAGCTTTAGCTCTCTCTATATATAACATTTAATTCTCAAAAAGCATTCTTAAAATAAGATATCTAAAGCCAATTTGGCAAATGTTAACATCTAATCTGGTGGTGAGTATGTATGTGTCTGTCACATTGTTTTTGTTAAGTTTGAATTATTTTAAAACTAAAGTAAAAAAATGGTAAAAGGTTTAGAAAATATGGAACAGTCTAAGAAGAAAATAAACTTCACTCATCAGTCCATCACTTTAACATTACCACTGCTAACATTTTGGTGTATTTCCTTTCTGCCTTTTTTCTAAGCATATTTTTATAGTCATGTGAGGCATAATGACGTTTTGGTCAATGATGGAACACACATACGATGGTGGTCATAAGATTAGTACCATATAGCCTAGGTGTATAGTAAGCTATGCCGCCTAGTTTGTGTAAGTTCACTCTAGGACGTTCCTACAATGATGAAATCACCTAACAGTGCTTTTCTCAGAACCTATCCTCATTGTTAAGTGAGGCGTGACTGCATATATTTTTAAACTTAATCGATAACGCATTGCACAATTTTGTATCCTGCTTTTTTCTATTTTAAAAATCTTTGTTACTTAAAAAAAATAAGCTGAAATTGTTGAACATGACGGAGGAAAATGAAGCCTATTTGAAAATTTGATTTAAGAGCTCCAACACTATTATTTGAATCATATCCAGTCCTAAGTCCGCTCAGGGGGGTGAGCTCGGGAGAGTGCGTGGCATCTGTTGTACTCAGTTATCCCCACTAGCAGGTCTTGAACTTTTTGGGAGAAAATGTGTGTGTATTTAAGGTTTTTCATATCCAGTTTTTTTAAGAAAACAGAGAAAAACATACATTTAATCTCAATATATTTCCTACAACCCACATAGAATTCAATAGCTGTTTTGCTTTTAAGAGAAGATCCAGCGCATTGAGTTAATCGAGCACAAGAAATTGTGAAAATTTAAAAGAAGGAAGAGCATGAAAATGACAAGTTTTTACATAGGTGAAGAAATGAGGACTGGAGTCTAAAGGCACACAGCCCTAAATCGCTAGACAGGCAATCAGCAAACGCTCACCAAAGATTTCATCTCTAGCTTTTTCAGTTGCTTCTTTTATCTTCTGGTCGTGAACCTGAATATCCCAGGCTTTTGTGTCTCCCTTGGAATGGAAAACAAGAGGGGAGAGAGTTAGAGCCAGAGAGTTTTATTCAGTTGGTAACAATCCTACTTATCTTTTCGGCCTTGCCCCACTGTAAACGAATTGTCTTAGGTACACATCAGGTCTTTTCAGACTTGGATGCTTTTGCTTATAGTCGGTTCTTCAGCCTGTCCTCTTAACTTTCACCAGAGCTTCCTTCCCTTTTTCTCTGGGTCAACAGATACTCATCCTCAGAATGCTGCTTGGGCATCACCTCCTCTAGGAAGCCCTCTCTGATTTCCTTTCCTGGCCCCAGTCTGTGCTCCTCTCCCTCACAGAACTAACTCCACTGCATTTCAAGGTGACCATTTCAACGCCTGCCTCTCCGATGGGCCACCAGCTCTGCAAGGTCATTATTCTTCATCTCCTTATTCTCCATCTCCTGAGCTCAGCTCAGGCTTGCCACAGAATAGGAACTCCACTGGTGTTTGTCAAACGAATGGACTGGAAGGAACCCTTGGCAATGTAGAAAATCTGGCTCAGAGAGAGGAGGGTGCGTTATTTGGTCCGTTAGGGTCTCTCCCATCCGCAGCAAAGTCAACACATCGTGCTGGTTTTCCCCGCCAAAGCCTGGTGCCGTTCGCCGCTGTGCCTAGGTCAAAAGTTTCATTCCAAGGGCTCATCTCCTCCTCTCGCCCCCACCTGCGCCTCCACATTCCCTCCTGCCCCTTTCCCTTTCGGGCCCAAGGGTCTCACCCCGATGATCCTGTTCCTGGCGTTGAAGATCCGCTTCTGCCTGCACAGCTCCGCCTGTCTCCTCTTGGCCAAGCGAAAGTCCTGCTCCAGGTCCTTGGGCTGCACTATGTCCATGACTGGGAATCGCCAAGAGATTCTAAGAGGTTTTAAAACATGCGAGACAAAAAACAAAAGACAGCAACAGTGAAACAAGCTGAAGCCCAGGCGAGGCTGGCTCCTGGGGAGGCGGGGCCGGCGGGAAGCGAGGCCGCTCCGGGGCTTTCAGGCGGTCTCTCTCCCAACCGCCCCGGGTGCGGAGCCCGGTTTCCGCGGAAACGTAAACAACGCCGGTTGCTAAGGAACGGCGCTGCGCTCGCCGCGTTCTCACTCTCCTCTCGCGAGACGTCAAGAGGCACTTCCCGCGCTTTTCTCGCCGGCGTGTGAGGACGCGGCTGAGGCGCAGCGGGCGCCGCCATGGGCCGTTTGGAGCTGCTGCTCGTGGAGAACTTTAAGTCGTGGCGGGGCAGCCAGGTCATCGGCCCCTTCAGGAGGTTCACCTGCATCATCGGCCCCAACGGCTCCGGTAATGGGACCCAGACGCCTCGGCGTGCCTCGTTTTGCCTGAGGGGACGTGAGGGTGGCGGCCACGCGGCCCGGACTCCAGGCGGCTGCTGCCCGCGGCCTCGGCCTGCTCCTGGCCCGACCTCCGCCGCTGCCGCGCCGACCCTCTCACTGCACCCCCGGCCCTCTCGCCGCACCCCTGACCCTCTCCCCGCACCCCCAACCCTCTCCCCGCACCCCAGGCCGACCGTCTCCCCGCACCCCCAACCCTCTCGCCGCACCCCCGACCCTCTCGCCGCACCCCCGACCCTCTCCCCCACCGCCGACCCTCTCCCGCACCCCCGACCCTCTCCCCGCACCCCCGACCCTCTCCCCCCACCGCCGACCCTCTCCCCGCACCCCGACCCTGTTGCCGCACCCCAGGCCAACCCTCTCGCCGCACCCCCGACCCTCTCCCCCCACCGCCAACCCTCTCCCCGCACCCCCGACCCTCTCGCCTCACCCCCGACCCTCTCGCCGCACCCCGGACCCTCTCGCCTCACCCCGACCCTCTCGCCGCACCCCCGACCCTCTCGCCTCACCCCCGACCCTCTCGCCGCACCCCCGACCCTCTCCCCGCACCCCCGACCCTCTCCCCCACCGCCGACCCTCTCCCCGCACCCCCGACCCTCTCCCCCCCCCCCCGACCCTCCCCCCCACCGCCGACCCTCTCCCCGCACCCCGACCCTCTCGCCGCACCCCCGACCCTCTCCCCCACCGCCGACCCTCTCCGCGCACCGCAGGCCGACCGTCTCCCCGCACCCCCGACCCTCTCCCCGCACCCAGGCCGACCCTCTCGCCGCACCCACGACCCTCTCCCCGCACCCCAGGCCGACCGTCTCCCCGCACCCCCGACCCTCTCGCCGCACCCCCGACCCTCTCGCCGCACCCCCGACCCTCTCGCCGCACCCCCGACCCTCTCCCCGCACCCCCGACCCTCTCCCCGCACCGCCGACCCTCTCCCCCCACCGCCGACCCTCTCCCCGCACCCCCGACCCTCTCGCCGCACCCCCGACCCTGTTGCCGCACCCGGGCCCTCTCCCCGCACCCCCGACCCTCTCCCCGCACCCCAGGCCAACCCTCTCGCCGCACCCCCGACCCTCTCGCTGCACCCCGACCCTCTCCCCGCACCCCCGACCCCCCCCCCCCCCCCCGACCCCCCCCCCGCACCCCGACCCTCTCGCCGCACCCCGACCCTCTCGCCGCACCCACGACCCTCTCGCCGCACCGCCGACCCTCTCCCCCCACCGCCGACCCTCTCCCGCCACCGCAGGCCGACCGTCTCCCCGCACCCCCGACCCTCTCGCCTCACCCCGACCCTCTCGCCACACCCCGACCTTCTCCCTGCACCCCCGACCCTCTCACTGTACCCTGCCCGGCCGTCACACCGCACCCCCGACACGACCCTCTAGCTGCACCCCCGGCCCTCTCACTGTACCCCGCCCGGCCGTCACACCGCACCCCCGACCCTCTCCCCGCACCCCCGACCCTCTCCCTGCACCCCCGACCCTCTCACTGTACCCCGCCCAGCCCGGCCCTCACACCGCACTCCAGACCCTCACAGCGCACCCCCGACCCTCACAGCGCACCCCCGACCCTCACAGCGCACCCCCTAGGGCTGGACCCTTGCCGTCTCCTGGCTCCGTAACCTTCGGACAACACCCCCGGGCCGACCCTTCGCCTCCATCACCCCCTCCCTGGGGCTTGCCTCTTAGACCATACCCAGGGGAGGCCCCCGGGCCTCAGACTGCGCCTCGCGCTCCCCCGCACCCCAGGGTCCGCCCGCAGCCTCCTCCCCTTTGCCCTGGCTCCCCTGCTCCGCGGCTTCCCTGTCCTCGGGCCTAGTTGCCTCTTCCTCCCTTTCCCATCCGGAGATTGAGTGGGAGCGCAGTCTGGAGGAAGTAGTTGGTTCCAGGGATTCTGAACAACCATTTGGGTCCAAGGAACCTTCTACACAGGAATATTGTGATAACATCGTTCACTGAGCTTTTACCAAGTTTCTGGCACAGCTATTTTTGTTTAACTCTCACAAACGGGTGTTATCCCCACTTTATAGTTGAGGAAACTGAGGTTCAGAGGCACCTGATGACTTTCCAAGGTTGCCCCGTACTGGCGGGGCCTGGCCGGGCTGGCGGCTGCGCTGTGCGGGAAACCGGAGGGTGCCGACCCGCCGCGTGGAGCAGGGCCTCGAGTGAGGGTCGCCTTGAGATTTGTCCTAACTCTGCAGTCTTCCTTTTGGCTCCCTCAGCCCGGATTCTCTCTCGTAGCTCAGAAACCATATTTGAGTTGAAAGATAACTGTTGCCTCAATAAATTAATTTGTGTGACAGATGTGAATAGGACACTTAAATGTGTGCTTTCCTGGTATGCCAAATCTGGAGTATAATTGTAGAACTATTAGGAAATTTCTGTTGCCTTATCAAAATAGCTGCTGTTTAATGTTTTCTTTTGCTCTTAGTGTATGTGAAAGAATACCTGAGCTTAGAAATAGTCACGTATTTGGAAATTTCCTTGCCTCTTCTGTGTAATATATTTCCTCATTCACAATTTATTCTTTTATCAAAAAGACATTGAGAAGATAATTTCAATGTCTTTAATAAACACCTTTAAATAATAAACACTCTTACATTCTTACCCTAACTAATCTTCTCCACTCATTTGTCGGGAGGTTACTGTGCCCACCACCAGATGATTTTCACCTTTTAACTGGCGATTATATGAAGGGTTGCTCAATTATATATATATATATATTTTTTTTTTTTTTTTGAGGAAGATTAGCCCTGAGCTACCTACTGCCAATCCTCCTCTTTTTGCTGAGGAAGCCTGGCCCGGAGCTAACATCCATGCCTATCTTCCTCTACTTTATACGTGGGACGCCTGCCACAGCGTGGCGTGCCAAGTGGCACCATGTCCGCACCGGGGATCCTAACCAGCAGACCCTGGGCCGCGGAGAAACGGAATGTGCACGCTTAACCACTGTGCCACTGGGCCGGCCCCTCAGTTGTATCTTGTAACTCCAGCAGTGCAATACTTGGAATGACTATCCGCGGTCTTGAGCTTTGGTCAGCTTAAACTGCATGCCCATTACGTTCAAGATCCTGTCAAAATGGTGTTTTGAACTTTTTTAAACTAGTGCCAAGGTTAAGGTTCAAAATAATATTATTTATTTTCTTAAGTTAAAAATGCATACTGTGATTAACAGCGTATCTTAAGGTTACTGTGAAAATGCCTTGACAAATTCTCTTGCCCCTCCCTAGATCCGCAGGCCTGGAAGCTCAGTTCCCTTCTTGAGAGTCATTGGTGACCTAGAGACTGCTTGGTACCACATAAAGCCAGTCGTGGATTATTTCAGCATTGCCTTCAATACCATCTCTCCACAACAGAAATTTCTGGTTTACTTATTACTGCATTTTGCCTAAGCTGTTCACATTCTTCTTGCTATATAAAGGCCAGAACTCAATATGGTACTCATCCGTGACTAATTTAATGGGTGATATTTCATTTGTATTCATTTGAACGCTTGTTGGTAGATCATCATTTTTTCATCCTGCAGAATTACTGGCACATTCAGATAGACTTTGCTAAACCAATTGATAATTTCCTGCTGTCTCATTTCCTGTTTTACTTTAATTTAGTTAGCTGTTCATACTTTTTGTGATAATTTCCTATTGTCACTACCTGCCAAAACTTGACATGTTCTCATTTATTTGTTTTTAGTAAATCTAATTTTGGCTTTTTTTGTAGGTAACAGAACAATTTCATTTTTAATCTTAACCTTCTTGTTTTCCATTCAGATTCAGAAAACAGTTGTTGCATGTATATAGTATTGAGAGCAGAATATGTGCAGAATAAGACAACTCCTGCTCCAAAGGTGTAGGGAGTGTAAGAAAAGGACATACTAATTGAAACAGAAGGCCAAAAACACTTTATAAAACTTTAAACAAGGAAAATACTATATCGGATTTGGGGAGGCATGGACAGGAAGAGGTGAATATTAGGGAAAGTTTTCTAGAGGAGTTGAAATTTGAGCTGGGCTCAAAGAGTAAAGAGTATGTTTCCATAGTTTTATATATTTTTCCATGTAGTTCAAATTGACCAGAATATAGTGCCTCAGTTGGGAAGCAGTGGGATATAATTTTTGGAGTCCTATTGGGTAAGTCCTTGCCAGGGTGAAGAATTTGTATTTAACTTTCTGGAAAAAATGTTAGACTTTAAAGGACTTTTAGCAGGGAACTACCACAAATGTGCCTGAGTCTAAGACTCAGAGGCACACTCTCCACTTGTGCTTTGGATCCTGTCCCTTCCTCAATTCTTTGCTTTTGTAATTATCGTCTTTCTCTTTTGAGTTGTATCTTTCTCCCTTATTGGGTAATTTTCATTGGCATAAATACATACGTGCCTTACTAACATTCTTAGGATATTGAGGATAGATATGTGAAAAGCAAGTATAGTGCAAATAATTGTAGAATTTAGCGGTAAATGTATGGATTTTTACTATGAAATTCTTTAAACTTGTATGTTTGAAGATTTTATAATAAAATGCCTGGGGGAAAAATCCCTTGACCCTCACTGTCTCCTCAGGGTATTGCCCCATTTTTCTTATCAGTATAGTGAAACTCCTTGAAACAGTTGTCCATAGTTCCCTTCTTTTCCTAACCCTCTTGATTCAGTTCTCAGCCACAAACTCCACTGAAATGACACTTATCTAGGTCACTGTTGACTTATGTCTTATAAAAGTCAGTGGTCAGTTCCCTATGCTCGTCCTGTTTGACATTTCAGCAATATTTCATTCATTTAAAAATAATTGAGTGCCCACTCTGTGCCATGCACTTTTTTAGGTTGTTTGGGATTCATCAGTGAACATAACAGATAAAAATCCCTGCCTGTGTAGAACTTATATTTAAATGCAGAGAGACAGAAAACAAACTAAATATGAAAATTATATAGAATATTGAAGTGTTAAGGAGAAAAGTAGAAACAAGGGAGGGGAGTAAGAAATGCTGGGGTGTTTTTAAAGAAGTTGGTCAAGGGTAGGCCCTGCTGTGCAGTTGACAAGGTAGATCACATTTCATCTCTTCCTCCTTGAAACGCTTTGTTCTCTGGACTTTCTTGACTTCGCCAACCAGGTTTTCTCCTGCTTCTCTGGCCACCCCTCAGATGTTGCCTGTTTCTCCCCAAGATCTCTTAGGCACTGGAGTGCCCTCCGGGAATATGTCCTTTGTCTCCTCCCTTTGTTCTTTCCCCAGGTGATCTTATCCAGTCTCATAGCTTCAGATACCATCTTTATGCTACTTTCCAAGTTGTATTTCCAGCCTATAAAATCCAGTGTTTAGTTTGCTATTTCTAGTAGACATCTAAAACAGTATAATCAGAAAGAGTGGTTAATTTCCTCTCCCCCACCTCCACCAAACGACAAACATGTTCTTTCTTAGGTCTTTACCAACTCAGTTAAGGGGCACTGTTTACTCATTTATTCAGACCAGAAACCCAGAGTAATTCTTGATTCCATCTTTTACCTTCTACACCTCACTTCCTTCATCCACTCGTCTATAAATCCTAATGACTCTACCTCTGAAATACATCCCGAATCCAATTGTTTCTTGCCACTTTTTACTGCTATAAAGTAGTCGGAACTGCTAGAGTTCTCATTTGGACTATTCCTATCATCTCCTAACAGGTCCCTCATCTTCCTTTCTTGCCTTTCTGCAGTTCATTCTCAAAGCAGCCAGCGTAAGTGTTAAAAAAAAAAAAAAAAAAAAAAGTAAGTCTATAAATCAAAGCACTCCTCAGTTTAAAACTCTCCAATGGCTTTCCCCTGCACTTAGAATAAAATCTGTATTTCTTACCATGCTTCACAAAGCTCTTTATAGTCTGACTCCTGTATATTTCTCTAATATTCTCTTGCCCCACATTTACTGTGCTCAGGTCAAAATTGCCTTTTTTTTTGCTTTCCTTACATGGGCCAACCTCATTTCCATTTCAGGGTCTTAGCATTTGCTGTTCCTTGGATTTAGAATGCTTTTCTCCCAGGGTCATATGGCTGCCACCTTAAAGAGTTCTCCTTCATCCTTGATAAATTCTCCCCATCACAGCCAATACGTTACCAGTCATGCCAGTTCTGCCTCCTTAATAGCCTTGTCCTCTTCTCTCTATTCCCACTGCTATCACTTTATTTCAGATTCTCATCATTTCTTCCTTAGATTAATGCAGTAACCTTTTAGCTGAGTTCCCAGCCTTTGGTCTTACCCTGCTTAAATCCATGTGCCATACTGCTAACACAGTAATCTTCATTTGTTCCTGCAAGAAAGAAGATCCATTTTATTTTCTTGATAGATGAGGAAAAGGCATTTGACAAAATTCTTTATCCATTTCCATCAACAGTTTTCTCTGGATGATGTGATTTTTTAAAAATACTTTTCTTTGGGGGCCGGCCCGGTGGCGCAGAGGTTAAGTTCGCACGTTCCGCTTCTCGGCGGCCCGGGGTTCGCTGGTTCGGATCCTGGGTGCGGACATGGCACTGCTTGGCAGCCATGCTGTGGTAGGCGTCCCACATAGAAAGTAGAGGAAGATGGGCACGGATGTTAGCTCAGAGCCAGGCTTCCTCAGCAAAAAGAGGAGGACTGGCAGTGGTTAGCTGAGGGCTAATCTTCCTCCAAAAAAAAACAAAAAACAAACAAACAAAAAAATACTTTTGTTTGTTTTCCAAATTCCCTACATTGAACGGTTTACTGTTCTAATCAGAAAAAAAACGTTAGTTTTAAAAACCATTTTACATGATCCATAATGACTGCTAAATTCTTAAAAAATAGTATTTTATCACAAAAGCAGTATATATGTATTGTAAAAAATTAAAAATAAATAAGAGTAAAAAAGTAAAAACATATTCCCACAGTCCAGAGAGTACTGTTGTAATACCTTATGGCATGTCCATAGAGATCTTTTTCTATGAAAACTTTTTTTTAATGAAAGTGAGATCATACAGTACATAATGTTGATTAACTTATTGTTTTCAGACAATTATCGTCACCTTTCTTTTTCAGTTCACTTCGTCTGATGTACAGTTCAAATTCAGGTTTCCTCAATTGACTCTAAAATGTTCTTTGACCAAACCATTTTCCAACCCACAACTACATAAATCTGTATTAATTTAGCATAGAATAGTTCTTTTATTTATAACACTAACTTGTTGAAAAGACTGGAAAAATTTTCCTCCAAAATGTTTAAATGTGTCTCATTGCTTCCTTATGATGTCATTTAGTTTGTTCCTCCATCCCCTCTATTTTTGTGAACTGGAAGGTATATCTAAAAAGTTGACGTTTTCAAATTAAACATTTTGGCTAGACTCCGTCATAGGTGATGTTATGTACTTCTCATTGTGTTACATCACATAATGTCCGGTTGTTTTACCATTAATGATGCTAAGATTGATCCCTGGATTAGGGTGGTGACGGTGATCTCTGCATTGTACAGTTAGTTTTTCCCCTTCTAACTAATCTAGTGTTCTAGTGTTACTAGTGTTACTTTAGCATTACACAAATGTTCTTTGTCAACCATTTATCCAAATAGTTTTAATGCCAATTAATAATCTTACCTGAATCAGCATTTCATTAAGGTTTGCAAAACTAGATTTTTCTAATTCTGTCATGCTTTCTACACTTGTTGAATGGTATTTCCTGTGAAAAAAAAGAGTTTTCCTTCATTAACTGGGGCTATTTGATTAACCTGACATACAGTTGACTAGAAAAACAGGATAAATTCTTGCCCATTTTCTTTTAATTCGTATTTTCAAAGAAAAGAGTTTTAATAGCGCAAATGGTGAAAATGAGTTTTTCTTTCTATTGTTGTTAGTATCATTATAGACTCATGGATTTTCATTGATGCAGTGTGTTTTAACCTGCCAAAAACATTATTATTTTTGATGCTCAGATTGTCATAACTTTAGTCAGTGGGAGCTCCTTCAGGCTGCCTTCTGTGTCATTTGGACATGACTTCATTAATATTTGAAAGCTTCCTTGCTTTCTGACATAAGATGTTCCAGTTCCCAGGCTCATCTTCAGTTTTCCCTGCCTCAGACTTGGAGTTAGCCAGTTCTCCAGTGGTTTCTGGTTTATTTTAGAAGGGAAGGTATTAAAGACCGCTATCTGGGAACGAGAGAGACTCAAATGCATTTGGGTAACAGTGGTTCTGGGTCATTTCAGTGGACAGGCTAGAAAATATATGAAGTGCTTTTTCAGATTTGTTCTTTTTTCATAACAGCTGTATTAAGATATAATTTATGTACCATAAAATTCATCCTTTTAAAGTATATAATTCAGTGATGCTTAGTATACTCACAGAGTTGTGTAACCATCATCGCTATCTAATTCCAGAACATTTTCATTACCACGAAAAGAAACCTTATACCCATTATGTCCTCCCCCAGCTCCTGGCAAGCACTAATCTACTTTCTGCCTCCATGGATTTGCCTATTGTGGACATTTCATATAAATGGAATTGTGCAATAAGTGGCCTTTTGTGTCTGGCTTCCTTCACTTAACATAGTAGGTTCATCTATGTTGTAGCATGTATTAGTAGTTAATTCCTTTTTATTCCCGAATAATATTCCATTGTAAAGATTTACCACATTGTGTTTATTCATTTAGCTTTTGATAGACATTTGGGTTGTTGCCACTTTGTGGTTGTTTTGAGTAATGCTGCTATGGACATCTGTCTACAAGTTTTTCTGTGGATGTTTTCATTTATCTTGGGGATACACTTAGGAGGGGAATTGCTGGGTCATATGGTAACTCTCTGTTTAACATTTTGAGGAACTGCCAAGCTGTTTTCTAAAGCAACTGAACCATTTTACAGTCCCATTGACAATAAATGAGCGTTCAGATTTCTCTACATCTTCATCAACAGTTGTTATTGTCTTTTTCCTTTTAGCCAACATAGTCGGTTTGAAGTGGGATCTCATTGTGGTTTTGACTTGTGTTTCCCTAATGAGTAATATGATTTTAGCATCTTTTCATATTACAGTAATTTTTAAAAATTGAGCTCATGTTGATATTTTCCGTTCAGTTTGAACATAACTGTGTTTTCACTGTTCCTTGATTTTTGTCATTTTAAATATTTTTCTTACTCTGAAAGTCTTAATTCCTAACATCACTAATATAATTACTTATTTGCTTTAACCTACAATATAAAGAAAACTGTCTTAAACTACCAATACCAATAACATTATAAACATTATAAAGGTACTAAAGGAAATTTTAAATTCCTTTGTACTTCTTTTTGGTCCTTAGAATGAATCCCACTAAGAATGTACAGTCTGTGATCTGAAGTCCCTTGAAATAAATCGTTTCTCAATGTGGCTGTGTTACCAATTTAATATTCAATTAAGTTTACTTGTTTCTGATTGTTTTCATTTATGGGATTTTTAAAATTTAGGTTTTTTTAAAATTGGTAATGCATATGCATATTTCAAAGGTCAAAACTCTGTAGAGAGGTATACACCGAGAAATCTTGCTTCTACTCCTGCTCCCTGTGTCATTCAGGGTCCCAGCAAGAAACAAGTGGCACTCTCAAATTAGGACAATTTGAGGAAGATTTATTTACAAAGGGATTGATTTACCAAGGTGTGGGAGGGCTGTAGAGGAATCACAAGGCTGTCAGTCGAACTGTCACCACCCCAAGGCCCAGAGAAGAGGGAACCCAGAAGGAACTTTGAAAGGGCAGTGACCTGTGGAAGGGCACAGCCAGTCAGAAGCCCCCTCCCAGGGAGGGAAGTAGGGGAATAAATACCCTGACCTCACTCTTTTCCCTTCTTCCCTCCTGCCAGAGTTCCCCATTGGCCAAATCCAACTGGATGCCAAAAGGCATGAGAGTCTGTGGATATAGGGCCAAAGGCAGGGTGGAGAAGGGATCAGGAGAGGGAAACAGAAGGTGTCTAACTCAGTTTTCTATGTCCTGCTCTTCTTCGCCTTCTGTATATAAATATTAGTTTCTTGATTATCCTTCAGTGTTTCTTTTTGCAAATGCAAGTAAATATGTGTGTACTGTTCTTCCCAGCTCCTCACTTTTTCTTTAAATAAAAGTTTGTATTTAGTTTTGCTGTTATGCACTTTTCTTTTTTCATTTGCTACATCCTCTTTTGTTCTCTTCTGTGTAATTCTCTATTGTGTGGCTGTTGTATAATTATTTCAAGTAGTCCTTTAATTTTTGGACATGAGTTGTTTCCAGTCTTTTTCTCTTAGCAAGAACCTATAACAAATTGTGTAATTCTGTATTTGCCATTGTGTGATTGTGCAGATGTATCAGGGAGATAGATTCCTAGAAGTGAAATTGCTGACTCAGAAGGTAAATGGAGTTATAATTTGGTTAGCTATTGCCAAATTTCCCGTCTGTCACGGTGGATTCATTTTGTACTCCCAACAGCAATGAATGAGAGGGCCGGTTTCCCTCTTGCCTCATCAAAATGTGTTTTCAAAGTTTTGGATTTTTGCCAGTTTAGTAGGTGAGAAACAGTTGTCTAATACAGTTTTAATTTACATTTCTCTTATGACTGAGCTCATGTGTGTTTTCTTATGTTTAAGGGCCTTTTGTATTTCTTTTTTCTCTAATTTGCCTTTTCATGTCCTTTGCCCATTTTTATACTGGGCAAGCATTATTTCAATTATTCAATCTCCCGCAAAGCCTACTCAGAGCCTCCAGTAGTTACTGCTTTTCTTAAGTGATTCTATAGTTCTTTGTGTTAATTTTATCTTAGAACTTATTATAGTGGATTATAATTTCCTGCTTTTAGTGGGAAGAGTATAGATGTTGGCATCAGACACCTGACTCCAAAACGTATGATTTCTTTGACCTTGAGCTTCTGCTTCTTTATTTGTGAAATTGGCAAATTAAATACCTACGTTATATGGTTGTTGCAAAGACTGAATAAAATAATAGATGTGGAGTGTCTGGCACAAAGTGGTGATCAATAAAAATTGATCATATTCCCCACTGTAAGCACCTTGGGGGGAAATCCTACATATTATTTGTCTTTTTAGCATCAGTACTTAGCAGAATGCCTGATTAATAGGTGTTCAGTAAATGTAGAATGAATGAAAGAATTTGAGGAGGCAAGAGAGGGAAGGTTGAGGAGTATAGCTAGGAGGCACTTGAAGTAAGGAGGACTTGAATGAGTAGAGAGATGGTAAAGGAGGAGTGAAATGGAAGAGATATGTAGAGTTGGAATCAGAGGGGACTTAGCAGCTGGTTGAGTAAGAGGGCAAATGAATGGAAAATGTGGAGGTTTTGACATGGGACAGTGATAGTATAATTTTCCTATCTGAATATTTGGTTCATCTTCATCAAATCATGATAGCCTAAAAGATAACTCTTCTAGAATCATTACTTTTCTGATGTTGGTTTTGAATTATTTACAGCAGAGGTCCCCAATCTGACCATTACTAAACTAGACTTGGTTTATTCATTCATTCACTTTTTTTCAACAGATGGTTGTTATCACTAGCTGGCGGGTAGGCACTTGATAAATGTTTCCTGATCATCCCATCTGAAGTTGCCTCTCCGAGTTACCCTCTATTTCATCACTCAGTTTATTTCCTCATGACACTCATTATAATATTAATTTCTTTTTTGTTTATTGTCTGACTTTCTTAATAGAGGATAACCTTCATTAGGCAGAGATGTTATCTGTCTTTTTCTTTTACTCTATCCTTATGACTTGGCACACAATAGGTATTCAGCAAATGTTATTGGAATGAATGAATGTAGGTGGGGAAATGTTTATTTTAGGCAGATTTTAAATAAGGATTGACCAAAAACAGTTTCTGTTTAATTCTGTTACTGTCAGGCTTAATAATTCGAGTCAATGAGTGTTCATTTTGTCCTATATATGCACTGTCTTACGATAGCTCTCAATCTGCAAATTATCAATTAACCGAAAAAAGCCATGTTTCATACCTATTAACTGAGACTTAACTAAGTAAACTTGCAGGATTTTAACCACTTCTAGTTCTTTTTAGAAATATCACAAACTTCTAAAACTAAGTTGTATTTCCAGTGGCTGGCAGTATTCTGTTTATGTTACTTTTCCCCCTTCTGGCACTGGAAATGTAAATTGCTTGTGGAGATGGGGGAAGGAATATGAAAAAGAAGCAAATTTTAATAAAGATGGTAGTAGCCAAAATGACACTGTAACCTTATAGACAGGCCTTTCAAAGGATAGCTGGATTGGACCTGCTATATAACTTTTCTGTATCGCCAACTCATACCAAACGTAAATATTCTAGTAACCTTAGTCTAGTCCTTGGGGAAAATCTTGCGTGTAAGTTAGCCATTTTTTTGTGTGTGTGACATTAACTGTTATAAAATGGGGATAAATGAAATTCAGAGAAGTTAAGTAATTTGTCATGGTATACTACTTAATAATGGGAGTGAGCTGGGGTTTAGATCCAGATATTTCGATCCTTATATTTAGACTACTTAGTGCTCTACCATAGCTACATAGAAACAAGTGATCTACATAAAATTTTGAGTAGAGACAAGACAGTACTATTTAGACGTGTATTGGCTATATTTCACTTCCATTGGTGGCCTGGTTTCTTTGGCTCTGGGGAAGGATTTTTATCTTTAAGAATGAATAACTTTTTTCTCTCTCTCTTTTCTTCCCCAGGAAAATCTAATGTAATGGATGCACTTAGTTTTGTAATGGGAGAGAAAACAGCTAATTTAAGAGTGAAAAATATTCAAGAACTTATTCATGGAGCTCATATTGGAAAACCTGTTTCTTCTTCTGCAAGTGTAAAAATTGTATATGTGGAGGAAAGTGGAGAAGAGAAAACATTTGCAAGGATTATTCGAGGTAATTTTTTTACACGTTTACTTATGAGTCATTTGTTTTTTTCAAGAGTTAAGTTGGATTACCTGTTTATTCTTTCTTTGAAGTGTGTGATTTATTATGCCACTGGCATAGTGAACTAGAGATTTTTTTTTTTTTTTCTCTTGGATAGCAAATCTCAGAAAAAAGTAATGGAACCTGTTTGATTTTCCCCTAGGACTCTTTAGGCAGACATATTTGTTCAAATTCTCCTACTGCCAATAGCATTTTTCTACTTGGTTATTACGTTAAAATGAAGGAGAGAGCCTACCTGAAAGACAGAGAAGTCATAAACGTCCTTCCTGAGGTTCTTTGTGTATGTTTATCTGGTTTTCTTAGTGAGGAACTAATTGTATGTGTATTTTTGGTTTGTGTAGAAAGTTTTTTCTACCAACAAAAAGCAACCTGAGTGAAATATTTGAATTTGTACTTTGTGATTTATTTATGAAATTGCTGTGTTCCCTGAAGAAAGAAGGTTGAGAGTTGTTTATATATGTTTTTCTATCTATGCTAGCAGTTTACAGAGCCTCTATAAAATAAGTGTTTTTTGGTTTTGTTTTTTGTTGTTGTTGCTGTCTTCATTCTGGTCCACTAGAACATGGTTCTAATGTTCTAAGGTGTAAATACTCTTAATAACTTTCCCCAAATTCAATCACAGATAATTTTAGAAATACTTATTATTAGATACAGCACTTGTACCTTAATGTGTAATTTAAGTGTTTCACCTTTTTATCACGTAGATGGTTAGTTTCTTCACTTTCTTTGGGTTTTTACTCAAAATCTCCATCTCAGTAAGAATTCCCTAGCCTAGTCTATTTATTTATTACTCTATTTATTTAGTAAACCATCATAAATTTATTTTTCCCATATTTATTGAGGTATAATTGACAAAAATTGTATATATTTAATGTGTACAACTTTATGTTTTAATATACCTTGTGAAATAATTGCCACACTCAAGCTAATTAGCATACGTATCACCTCACATGGTTACCATTTTCTTATGTGTGTATGTATGTGTGGTAAGAATACTTAAGATCAAACCACTTAGCAAATTTGAGGTATACAATACAGTATTGTTAACTGTAGTCACATAGCCATACATTAGATCTCCAGAAATTATTCATCCTCCATAACTGAAACTTTGTACCCCTTGACCAACATCTCCCCATTTTTCCCTCCCCCGGCCACCACCCTTCTACCCTCTGCTTCTATGAGTTTAACTATTTTAGATTCAACGTGTAAGTGAGATCATGTAGTATTTGTCTTTCTGTGTATGGCTTATTTCACTTAGCATAATGTCCTCCATGTGACATCCATGATGTTGCAACTGGCAGGATTTCCTTCTTTTTTAAGGCTGAATAATATTCCCATCTTTTCTTTATCCATTCATCTGTTGACAGACACTTAGGTTGTGTCCATGTGTTAGCTATTGTGAATAATGCTGCAGTGAACAGGGGAGTGCAAATCTCTCTTCAAGATACTGATTTCATTTTCTTTGGATATATACTCAGAAGTGGGATTTCTGGATCATAAGGTAGTTCTGTTTTTACTTTTTTGAGGAACCTTTATACTGTTCTCCATAATGGCTATACCAATTTATATTCCCACCAACAAGGTGCAAAGGTTCCGTTTCTTCACATCTTCACCAATACTTGCCTTTTGTCTTTTTAATTCTAATAGGAGTGTATTGATACCCAGTTGTGGTTTTGATTTGCATTTCCCTGATGATTCCTGATACTGAGCACCTTTTCATATACCTGTTGGCAATTTGTGTGTCATCTTTTGAGAAATATCTATTCAGGCCCTTTGCCTGTTTTTAAATTAGGTTGTTTGGTTTTTTGCTATTGAGCTCCTTATATATTTTGGATATTAGTCCCTTGTCAGATATCTGGTTTGAAAAATTTCCTCCCATTCTGTAAGTTGCCTTTTCACTCTGTTGATTGTTTCCTTTGCTGTGCAGAAGGTTTTTAGTTTGATGCAATCCTACTTGTCCATTTTTGCTTTTGTTACTTGTGCTTTTGATATCATATCCAAAAAAATTGTTGTGCAGAGCAGTGTCAAGAAACGTTTTCCATATGTTTTCTTCTAGTAGTTTTACAGCTTCAGGTCTTACATTTAAGTCTTTAATATATTTTTAGTTAATTTTTATATATAGTGTGAGATAAGGGTCCAATTTCCTCCTGCACGTGGGTATACAATTTTCCCAACACTATTTATTGAAGAGACTATCTTTTCCCCATTATGTGTTCTTGGCACTTTGTTGAAGATCTGTTGACTGTAGATGCATGGATTTCTTTCTGGACTCTCTATTCTGTTCCATTAGTCTATGTGTCTCTTTCTATGCCAGTACCATGCTGTTTCAATTACTGTAGCTTTGTAATATATTTTCAGATCAGGAAGTGTGACGCCTCCAGTTTTGTTGTTCTTCCTAGCCAATCTGTCTTAGTCTGTTTGGGCTGCTATAACAAAATACTACAGACTAGGGAGTTTATAAACCGTAAAAATTTATTTCTCACAGTTCTAGAAGCTACAAGTCTAAGATCAGGGTGCCAACGTGGTCAAATGAGGGCTCTCTTCCAGGTTGCAGACTTCTCATTGTATTCGCACATGGTGAAAGGGACTAGGCAACTCTGGGGGGGTCTCTTTTATGAAAGCACTAATACCATGCAGGAGGGTTTCACTCTCATGACCGAATCACTTCTCAAAGGCCCCACCTACTAATACCATCATCTTTGGGGCTTAGGATTTCAACATATGAATTTAGGGGAGACATAAACATTCAGACAATAGCACCATTCTATTTAAAATTGCAATGCCTGTTCCCTATACACCGAAACTTTTGTACCCCCTTCTCAGCTCTATTTTACTCCTTAACGCTTAACACTTTCTCACATGATATTTATTCTACTTACGTATCTCATTTTTGTCTGTGTCCATTACTAGAATATAAGCTCCTTGAGATCACACTTTCATCTGTTTTGTTCACTGCTGTGGAATATTCCTTGGCATATAGTAGACAGACACTCACTATTTGTTGACTGATTAAATGCATTTATTAACATGTGTATTATTACGTAACTGGCCATTTCAATAAGAAAGATAATTTTGTTAAACTTTCAATAGTTGTTGATATATATCTGGTGTTTATACTTCCTATAATAGCCTTAATTCTTGTATTTTAGGGGGATGCTCAGAATTTCGTTTTAATGATAATCCTGTGAGTCGTTCTGCTTACATAGCAGAGTTGGAAAAGATAGGTATTATAGTCAAAGCACAGAACTGTCTAGTTTTTCAGGTAAGTAGGTGTAGTAGTTTATTTCATTCATGATTTTGAAAATTCATCACTATATTTTATATGTTGGTGTGCTTTACTGTTTTTAAAAGGGAACTGTAGAGTTGATTTCAATGAAAAAACCCAAAGAAAGAACCCAGTTTTTTGAGGAAATCAGCACTTCAGGAGAGCTTGTAGGAGAATATGAGGAAAAGAAAAGAAAGTTACAGAAAGCTGAAGAGGACGCACAGTTTAATTTTAATAAGAAAAAAAATGTAGCTGCAGAGCGAAAACATGCAAAGTTAGAGAAAGAAGAGGTAAGGTGTCATGAAGATGTAACCAATTAAGTGTTGAATACAAAAACTTTCTGTTTATTAGAATTACTAGGTATTGGCTTGATGTTACGAAAAATATTCTTTTAATAATAAAAGACAGATGAGGCCCAATATTCATTAAATATAAACTTTTTGATATATTTTCCACTGTTTGGGTTCTTTTTCACCTGACCTAAAAAAATGTCTGATTTTCCCAATTAAAAATAAGCTTGAAGGGTTTATATCTTATATGGCAGAGACTCTCAAACTCTTGGATCTTGTTCTCCAAGACAAGACAATTATGCTCTTAAAAATTATTGAGGACTCCAAAGAGTTTCTGTTCATGTGGGTTATATCTATCAACATTTATTGTATTTGAAATTAAAACTGAGAAATTTTTAAGTATATTTTAATGATGAGTGTAAAAATAATAAACTCATTACATGTTTACATAAATAACATATTTTGGGGGCCGGCCCGGTAGCGCAGCAGTTAAGTGCGCACGTTCCACTTTCGTGGCCTGGGGTTCACTCGTTCGGGTCCTGGGTGTGGACATGACACCACTTGGCAAGCCATGCTGTGGCAGGCGTCCCACATATAAAGTAGAGGAAGGTGGGCACGGGTGTGAGCTTAGGGCCAGTCTTCCTCAGCAAAAAGAGGAGGATTGGCAGCAGATGTTAGCTCAGGGCTAATCTTCCTCAAAAAAACAAAAAACATGTTTTTATGAAAGACAACTTCATTTTCTAAAACTAAATATAATTAGTCGGGTGGCATTGTTTTACATTTTTATAATCTCATTAATATCTGGCTTAATAGAAGACAGATGCATTCTTATATCTGCTTTTGTGTTAAATCTTATTTGTGCTGAGGCCTAGCAGCTTTACCCACCATTGATTTAGTAATATTATGAAAATAGTTTTGACCTCAGGGACTCAGTCAAAGGGTGTTGGGAATCCTAAGGAGGCCATGGCCACTCTTTGCAAATGCTCTTCTGTGGTGTTTCTTGGTGCCCTTCACAATGCCTCGTTTACTGCCTTGTATATGGTTGATAATTGTTTGCGTTTACAGTGATCTTTTTCAAATGTGAATCAATTTCTTTCTCTTACATAAAACCTCTTCTAGTACAGAGCTTCACACTGTGCTGAGAATCTCATCTCGCTATTCAGCCTACTAATCTGGCCCTCACTCACCTCTCTAGCTTTAACTTTCTCTAGTCGCCTACCACATTGACCTTTATTATTTATTGAACACACCACACTCCCTTCTAGCCTGGAGCTTTTGCTGTTTCCTCTGTCTAGATAGCTGTCTGCCTCATTTTTACTTGGCTGATGATTTCATTCAAGTTTTTGTAAAAAAGCCATTTTCTCAGGCAGATAGTTGCTGTCCACGCCCCCAGTCCAAATTACTACCTCCTCCCTGGTCCTTTCGCGTTACTCTGTTTTTTTTCCCTTGTGGCCTCTGTTGCAGTATGAAATGATCTTATTTATTATTTGTTTGCTTGTTTACTCTCTGCCTCCTCTTCTTTCCTCCCCCTTAAAATAACTCGACTGTAAGCTTACAAGAGCAGGCACTTGTTCCCCACTATATTCCCAGCACATAGAACAGGGCCTGGCACATAGTAGGTAGTCAGTAAATATTTGAAGAAATAAATGAAAGATGGATCTGTTCCTTATTAATGATGTTCCTCTGTCTTTTTATATTTTTACATGTGTGTGTGTCCTTGATTTTGTCAGTGGAAAGGGGAGACATCAGTGAAAGTCAGACTGTAGTACTTATACTGAAACAGCTTACAGAAATGTAGAATTGCAGAACTTTAAAAATTACAATGACGGTTTGAATACTCCAACTTCCTAATTATTTTTTGCAATATCCTGACAGATGGCTGTTTACCTGTTACTGGAATACTTCATTGATTAGGAGCTCTCTCAAGACAGCCCATTCTTTTATTCCTTTATTAATAGTACAAATGCTAAGGAAATTCTTCCATTTCACATATAATTTAGAATTTTAATAGTCCTGTTAGTTCTATTAGTAGGAAAGTTACATCCTATAGCAGTAATTTTACCTGGAATCATTGAATTTAAAGTTGCTAGAGACCTTACAAGTCATATAACTTCCTTCAGTTTACAAATGAGGAAGCAGATATCAGAAATGTTAATGGGCTTGCTAAACTCTGAAGTCAAGACAGAAATGGGACAAGGACCCAGGTTAGTGGGTACCACTTCATTATTCTTACCACTATACCACTCAGTGCACGAATATAAAGTTGTTTACCTGTTTCTGGTTTATTTTAGAAGTGTATCCAGGAACCTTCTCCAAATAATGCTACTTTGGGCACAAATACTGTTTCTTAATGACATAAATAAAAATTCATCAAACATCATTTGTTGGTACTATAGCTAAGTTTATGAAAGGTCAACTTAAGTATACTCCCTTTTAACTGTTATTGACATGTACTGTTTTATAGGCAGACCGTTACCAGAGTCTCCTCGAAGAACTGAAAATGAACAAGATACAACTGCAGCTTTTCCAACTATATCATAATGAGAAAAAAATCCATCTTCTGAACACTGAGTTAGAGCATGTGAATAGGGATTTGAGTATCACAAAAGAGTCTCTTTCTCATCATGAGAACATAGTTAAAACCAAGAAAAAGGAACATGGAATGCTAACTAGACAACTACAACAAACAGAAAAAGAATTAAAGTGAGTTTTAAAAAATAGATATTAACAGTTGGATTTTATATAGTTTGATAGAGAAAATAAAAATATAAGTGACACTTTGGAAGATGATTTTTTAAATAAACTTTTTACTTTGGAATATTTTAGATATACAGAAAAATTATAAAAATATTACAGAGAGTTCTCATATTCCTCACACTCAATTTCTCCTACTAATACCATCTTACATTATTAGTATGATACATTTGTCAGAATTAATGGACCAGTATTGATACATTACTATTAATTAAAGTCCATCCTTTATTCATATTTTTATAATATTTGCCTAATGTACTTTTTGTGATCCAGAGTACCATATTACATTTAGTCATCATGTCTCCAAAGTCTCCTCTTGGCTGTGACAGTTTCTCAAGACTTTTCTCATTTTTGATGACTTTGACAGTTTTGGGGAGTATTGACCAGGTATTTTGTAGAGTGTCCCTTGGTTGCAATTTCTCTGATAGTTTTCTCATAATTAGACAGGGTTTGTGGGTTTTGGAGAGGAAGACCATTACCAAGACCATTTTAACAAGAGGTAAAATGCCATTCTCATCACAGTGTATCAGGGATGTCAATGTAGCATATATATTATGTGACATATCATCTATCTAACATATCAACATGATGTCACTGTTGATGTTGACCTTTGCTTCCTTATCTATAACCTCCTATTCCAACAGTGAGAAACCTGGCTTCCACAGTCTGCCATCCATTTGCTTAATTGTTCAGTTCCGGTAATCATATATGACAATATCAGAATTGTTCACACATACTCTCATGGGAACTATCTCTGCCAACTAGAGTACAATGCTTATGTGTAGCTCCTTTTTCTTTTAGGTTTATAGACTCCACTCATTTCCAAAGTTACTTAGGTTAGCACCTTTTCCCTCTACCTCCTTAAGTAAGATTGTTTCATACATTTGTAATAGAATTAGATTCTTTTGTCACATTTTGTATTGCATTTAGGATCCCTTGGCCTCCTAAGTGATTTTTTAAAATTTGCATACGTTGATGTTCACTTTTGGTGCTGTAAAGTTCTGTAGGTTTTGACAAATGCTGATGTCATGTGTCCGCCATTATAGCATCATACAGAGTAGTTTACCACTCTTAAAAAATTCCCCTATGCTTCACCTGTTCAATCCTCGCCCCCAACCTCTGGCAACCACTGATCTGCTTGCAGTCTCTGAAAGTCAATTTTTAGAATTTATTTTTAAATGTATGATTTGATCAAAAGAACATTTTCCCTTTGTATATTATAAAGTTTAATTTCCTTTAAAGCAAACTTTATTTTTCTTTTTAGATCTCTTGAAGCACTTTTAAATCAGAAGAGACCTCAGTATATTAAAGCCAAAGAAAACACTTCTTACCACCTCAAGAAATTAGATCTGGCTAAGAAATCAATAAAGGACAGTGAAAAACAATGTTCTAAACAGGAAGATGACATAAAAGCCCTGGAGACAGAGCTGGTTGATTTAGATGGTGCATGGAGAAGTTTTGAAAAGCAGATTGAGGAGGAAATCTTACGTAAAGGGCGAGACATTGAACTAGAAGCCAGTCAGGTGAAAAAGTCAATATATGGGAAATCTTCTGTTTCTATTGTTTCAGCTGCTCCTTTTAGTTTGAAAAAAATTAGAGTGACCTCTGTTTCTGATATTTTAAGAGATTGTCTTTAGAATCTGAATTATGTGGATTTAAATATTCAGCTTGTATACAGAATCTAAATTTAATCTTTAGGCTATTTTTCTAAGAATAGATGCCATTATAACATTTATGAGTTAAAGTCATAGAAAATACTTCAACAAAATTATATGGTATTGTTTTGTAATAAAAGTTAGATAGTTGTATTATGTTTTTAAGGTAATCATTTTTTTGTCTCATGAATATTATAAAAACTTGAGAGTCAGATATATTTGGCTTTGAAGAAACATAATCGCTTAATTGACAGGAGGGAAATTATTACTTAAGGTGATTTAAAACGTTAAGTGATGAATTAATATCCGTTTTACTATTTAAGATTTAATTGTAATAAATTGATAGACATCCAAAAATTTGTAATTCAGAGTTTTTAAACATTCTCTTAATTAAATTTTATCATTTATCTCTTCCTTTTCTTTTTTTTTTGTGGCAAAGATTGGTGAGAAAGATTGGCCCTGAGTTAACATCTGTTGCCAATCTTCCTCTTTTTGCCTGTGGAAGATTGTCCCTGAGCTAACATGTGTGCCAGTCTTCCTCCATTTTGTATGTGGGATGCCACCACAGTATGGCTTGATGAGCATTGTGTAGGTCCACGCCTGAGGATCCAAACCTGTGAACCCTGGCCTGCTGAAGCAGAGTGTGTAAACTTAACCACTACGCCACCAGGCCGGCCCCTCTCTCATTATTTTTATGATAATCTTATATCACAATATATATACTAAAATAATTGTGACTATATAAATAGAAAAACTACATAATTTTCTCTGAACTCCTCTTGCTTTTGGACTGTTAATGCGTTTCAATCCCCTTTCTTTTTTAAGAATTTCTTACAGAGACCTTATAGAGTTGGTTTTGAATACCTTATTGATCTATCTAAATAAACGGTTTTAAATAAGATGTTCATTTTGTGTTCACATTATCTTACCTGTAGAATATAGCCAATTATGATGTAATTTATATAAAATGTACTTTTGATAAGTTTATTCATCTTTTAGTAAAGGCTGTCATATAAAGAATTTCGTCTCATGCTTCTTAAGAGAGTTAGCAATGTTTAAATCCTCTTTATATAGCTGGATCGTTATAAGGAACTTAAGGAACAAGTAAGAAGGAAAGTGGCTATAATGACCCAACAACTGAAAAAACTGCAGTGGGAACAGAAGGCTGATGAAGAAAGACTGGCATTTGAAAAGAGGAGGCACAAAGAAGTTCAGGTACCTTGGTTTGTATCGTAATGATTTAGAATTATTTTCAGTAAAATTTTGTTTCCCCTCTGTATTAGCTTTTAAATATGTAAGTGGATTTTCATCAGACATAAGCAATTAACAAAAAAATTTTGGATTACCTATTGCGCCACTTAGTATCATTTAGGTGCTCTTTCATGGTCTAAGATATAAATAGACAGTGCCTTCATTCATGTATTCAATAAGCATTTTCTGTGCATTTACAGAGTGATAGGCATGGGCAGGTGATACAGTCTCTGTTCTTACATGTATTTTAGTCCGGGGGGTTGGAGGGAGGATAGACAAAGGAAAAAAACAAATGAATATATCAACAGACATGAGCGCAAAGTCTTTTGGAAAGGACATAGACTGAGAGGAGCTTGATAGCCTACATGGGAAATTACCACCAAGACTTCGTAGTGTTTTGCCTGAGCGTAAGGCAGACCTGGCTCCCAGCCCGTCTTGTTCTCTCACTGACCTGTGTAATCTAGGTAAACAACTAATTTAACTTCTCTGGGCTTTGATCTCTTCATTTGTACAATGAGGATAGCTATGTCTACCTCATAGTGATGGGCAGGTTGAATAAGGTGAAAGTGAGTGTGATAATAGACCAAGCATCTGGTGTTTCCCTTTCATGTCCATGACCTTCTTTTCTAAAGACTGAGAATTGGGCTGTAAAATAATTATTATTGCACATTCGGCAGTAATATCAAATTATCATATTGTGGAGTCTATGGGCCATTCTGAAAATGTGACCACCATTTCTAATAAGAATTGTAAGGGGAAATTGTTCTGAATTATATATATATTTGATTTATAAATGAATATTTGGAATTTAGAGGAAAAAATGTTTATTGATTACTTTGCTAGGCACTTTACATTTGCTAGACTCCTTTACATCTCACAGCAATACTGTAGGGGCAGTCAGTCATACACTTCATCTGAGGTACAGATGAAGGAACTGAGGGCTGGGATTTCAAAATGAAATCTCTCTCTAGAAACGGATCTGACATTTTCCAGGAATAACAACAATAATATCACTATAATGTAGTGTTTATTTGTACATACCTGTATATACCATGTTTACAGCACTGTTGTAAACCCAATTAATCCTCAAACAACCTTATGAGTAGATATTAATATTGTTATGTTCTCATCCTGGTTGTTTCTCTGTTCTACTTTCTGCCTTGGTGATCAATAATCTCATAGCTTTGAACTATCCATCTGCTGATGACTCCCAAATTTGTATTTCTAGCTCAGACCTTCTAAACTCCAACCTTGTGTATTCAGCTGCTTCCTCAGCATCTGCATTCTGGATGTTGAATAGACATCTCAAACTTAAGTCCCAAACAAAACTTTTGATCTTCACACCCAAATGTGCCCCATGCACAGTCTGTCCCATCTCAGGTGATGACAATTTAATTTACTGGTTGCTCAGGCCAGAAACCTTAGAGGCGATCTTTGACTCTTTTAGGAAATTCTGTTGGCTCCATCTTCAAAATAATACCAAAAATCTGATCACTTCTCTCCTCTTCTACTGCTATCACCCTGGTCCAAGTCACCAACCTATTTGTTTAGAGCACTGTAGTATCCTACTGAGTTTCCCTGCTCCCACTTTTGTCTCTCCACAATAGTCTGAGCACAGCAGCCAAAGTGATGCTTTTATCTAAGTCAGATCTTGAAACGTGTTCTTTTTGAAGTCTGCCAGTGGCTCCTCATCGCACAGAAAGTTTAAGTCAAAGTCCTTGAGTGCCCTACGTGGACCTGCCTGATCTGCTTTCTCCTCCCACCTCAATTTACATCTCAAACCTCCTCCTTTTCTGTTCTCCCTCTTGTTCTCTGTGGTCTAGCTGTACTGGCCTTCTGGAACACATCAGACATATTTCTGCCTTAGGGCCTTTGCACTGGTTATTCCTCTGCCTGGAACATGCTTTCCCTACATTTCTTCATTTTTAACTCCCTCACTTCCTGCAAGTCTTTGTTCAAATGTTGCCTTCTCAATGAGGCCTACCCTGACTACCCTACTTAAAATTTTAGTCCCCACTGCACTTCTGCTCCCCTTACCATGGCTCTGTTTTCCCCGTGGCGTTTATCTCCTGACATACGATTTAATTTACTTACTGTAGTTGTCTGCCTTCTCCCTCTAGAACGTGAACTCCACATGAGCAGGGATGTTTGTCTGATTTGTTCACTGATGCCTCCCACACTCTTAGAATAGTTCTTTATCTAGAGCAGATAATCAATAACTATTTGTTGAATTAATGAATTTACAGATGAAGGAATTGAGGCACAAGATGGTTAAGTTAACTTGACTAAACTACTGAGTGAAGGAATTGGGATTTGATTCCAAACACTTTGTCTCTAGAATGAATCTTCTTAACCCCTATACTGTACTGCCCCTCATTTTAGTCTCTGATTTGGCAGATGAACAAAAACAAATATGAAAGGTGGAGTATATGATGATCTGGTAAGTAGAGGAGAGGACATTTTGTGGAGGGAGAAAAACAAATGCAGTAACAGCAGTAATTACTTTTACAACACTTGTATAATTTGTATCATTTTATACATATTTATGTATAATTATATATGTATAATATGTATAATTATAAAATTATACACTGATTTCTATGAATACTTGTTGCACATTGTTGCCTTTGTGCATGCTAATTTTGGAAAAATTTACTTATCTTTACATGTTAAATTCTGTAGTTACCCAGACCACAAAGGCTTCCCTGGCCCTTCTTTTCTCCCTTCCCCACCACAAAAAACCCCTGAAAATTCTTCCTCATCTAATCACTCTTTTTTCTTAATCTGTATCTATCTAAAGGCTTTTATCAGATTGGAGAAAATGTAGTTAATTGGTATAGCTCTACTAGACTGGAAGCTTCTTAAAGGCAGGATTCATAATAGTGTCCACTGTAAACCTTGTTCTTAGTAGATGTCAGTAAGTGTTGGTTGAATTGCTGTTGTCTTTTGAATACAAAAACGCTGATAGAGAAAGACCTAATGTGTCAGAGTGGAGAGAAATGGAGGAATCTGTACCTATATTCAGTTCCCCACAGGACTAGTGACTCCCTTCCCGGACAGGAGGGGCTATAACTTTCCACTGATCCCAAGATCGCTGCACAGTGTTTGTTTTCCCAGACAACTAGCATGATCAGCTGGCATCTCATATCTGGAATATCTGGTACCAAGGCAATCTGATTACTCACCATTATGTGTCCAGCAGTGCACCCAGGCCCTGACACACCTCCCTTTGGGATGATGAGAGGAAAGAGGACCTTCTCTCTTCTTGATCCTGGTCTTTTACATTTTCTCCAGTAAAGCCTATTCTTTGACCTGAGCCATGTCTGGAGTTTGTTCTGAGCCCCTTGCATAACTGGTGGTGACCCCGAAGAGACCTACCGGGCATGTTAAGTAATGATGACAAAGGGGCCCATCTGGCACGACACAAGCCCTGGGTGTGGCCACAGTAAAGGCAGAGGCAGGTGTTCCCACTTAACTTAACTTGCTATTCCTCCTTAACTAATCTTGTTTTTTCCTCTTTGAATAGAATTCTTCAGTGAGATAATAGAATTTCAATATGGGGACTCTAATTTCAAAATGTGTGAGTTTCTTCAGAAAAGGAACTATGTCTTGCTTATTTTGTAACTCTGGCCCCTAGCACAGTAGATGTTTGTTCAGTGAATTTGTGTGATAAATGACTAAAATGAGATAGTTATCCTCATGGAATATGTTGGTCATTTTCCACTTGAAAACTATGGTATTTCTTCTCTCCTGCTGTTGTATACTGAAAAAGAATTATGGTTTTTACTTTTGTACACAAATTTTGTAAATTTTTGGTTTTAGATCACTTAGTTAATGGAGTAAGACAGATTAATCTTGCTATGGTGCACAGGATGAATTAGACAAGGGAAAGGTTAAAGACATCAAGCCAATTGGAGACTACTGCAGTACTTGGATTTAGCAATAAAGTGAATGGAGCAAGACTTTTGTGAAGTGCTTCTCCCACAAGCCTAAAGTTGCCTTATAGGTTCCTAAACTATTATGGCACACAGCCGCTCCACTGAAATTACTTATTTAATTGTCTCTCCCACCAGATCTTAGTCCTTGAGGGCAGGGACTCAGGCCTGTTCAGTATTATTTCTCTAGTTCCTAGCACATAGTAGCCAGTGAATAAATATTTATTGAATGAATTCATTTGAGGGACAGATAAGAACTATGTATAGGTATTTGAAAATAATCCTCTGGGAGTTTGACATTACCGGAATAAACTTGCTGGAGATCACTTAAATTGTGGAGCCAGGATTTGAACCCTGATTCTTGTAACCTCAAAGCTCTATACCATACTGCCTTTTGAAAATTAAAATTTCCTCTTATGAGTATTTTTATATAGTTATATTTGATACATTTCAAATTTAGAACTTAACGATACTATAGTAAGTTGTAGGTATATAGTGAAAAATGATCAGTTTTGTTTGTTTGGAGTTGCTGTAATTGATTTTAAGTTTCATTTTTTGTTTTAGGAAAATCTAAAACAAGTAAAAGAACAAATAGAAGATCATAAAAAACGAATAGAGAAATTGGAGGAGTATACAAAAACATGCATGTATGTATAGTAAAAAAATTCCTTGCAGAATATTTGTGGTATATTCATCAAGGGTCTGGTATATTTGTGGTATATTCGTCAAATGACTGCTTCCACTATATTATAATGTTCTTGCTCTTCATTGTTTTTCATTTCATTGTAGATAGTTAAAATTCATACTTAACCACATAAATAAATAAAATATTTAAGTTTTGAAAATATAAATGTTTACCAGCAGTGAAACTTAAAACTTTCTTTTGGTATTGATATTTTATAAGAAAAGCCATGTCATGAAAGCTAGTACGACCTAAGTATTCTACCAATAAGAATTTCTTTTTGATTGGCATTTACTGAATCATTAAGCTCATAATGATCGTTCTGATATATATAGTGATCTATCCTTATGTTTTTGGTATCTAGAAATATGTATCTTTTGAATCAACAATGAATGATCAAAATCTCTTTTGCCCATGTTTGGTGCTAGGTTTATTTTATTGTATCTTTCCTCATTTAAAATTGATAGAGCTCTATTTCATTCCCCTGCAATGCCAGACAAGAGTATGTTGTATCTTGTAAGTTGTAAATTTTGATTTTTCTTTTTGCTATATAATTTGTTGTTGTTATTGTTATGTAGGGATTGCTTGAAAGAGAAAAAACAGCAAGAGGAAACCCTAGTGGATGAAATTGAAAAAGCAAAATCAAGAATGTCTGAAGTTAATGAAGAGCTGAATTTTATTAGAAATGAATTGCAGAATGCTGGAATTGATAGCCATGAGGGAAAACGTCAGCAAAAGAGAGAAGAAGTTCTGGAACACCTTAAAAGACTTTACCCAGACTCTGTGGTAATTGGAAATTAATAATTAATTGAAACAAAAAGGCTAAGCTTTCTTATTTGGGATTAAAAATTACCATTATTAGGAAGCAAAAGCAAAATTATTCAGAAATATTTTGAGTTTTATGTTTGATAATTTATATTTAAAATATAATAGTAAATAATTAGAGTTAAATGTAAATAACTTCCAGTAGTGTCTATAGATAAGTAATTACTGGGGAGAAACATTGACATGGACACATTGCCCAGAAAGTCCAAGTTATCGCCAGTATCCCCAAAGGACATAGGTGCCGTGAAGTAGTCTGGTCCCCCCTAGACACAAAGCCTCAAATTTCATATTCTTCATGGTTTCAGTTTTTTAAAATATTTCCAGCAGATATCGTTGGTATACTTTTGAAACAATGAAATTTTATTCTCTAAATCTGACTGTGCATCTAGTATCGCTGGTGTATTTTGTTAGCCCCAGTACAGCAATATCTAACCTGTTGCTTGGGGTGTTAACTTCACAGAATTATTCCCTTTGGTATTAGGGTCTGGCATCTCACTCTCTTGCCACTAACACCAGTGTACACTGTGCAGTCTTTATTTTATGAAGGCGTATTTTCAGCATTTGTCACTGTTAATCACTTGCACTTTTTGAAACACCTGTCCGCTGGCCTCCATGATACCATGCTTTCATGATTTTCCCCTTTCTTTCTGGCCACCTCATCTTACTCTCCTTTACATCATCTTTTTGACTTCTGACTCTTAAATTTGGTCTTGACCTCTAAATAATGATGGAGCAGTAAGGCTGGATCATAGAATCCTTCCCCCAGTAGCAGACAAAATGACAAAAACTAGTAAAAAACTAGTTCAACAACAAAACAAAGAAAAGGGCTCATACATCTAATGCCGTAAACTTGAGAAAATGTTAATAGTCTAGGACTTTTTTAAAAGATTGAAATATAGCATTGCTTGTTCTTAATTCTGCAGTAGGCAAACTGATAAATTGCTTAATTCCTGAGAAGTCTTACCTAATATCCTGTAATCAATCAAGAAGCAAGCTCATATGTATTTATTTCTTTTTCAGTAAAAAAATCTAATGAATCAGGGAACATGAAGCTCTGATGCTCTTAGATGGAAGTGAAGGCTCTAGGGCTTCTCATTAAATTGAGAGGCCAGTTCAAAGCCCTCTCCCCAAAATGGGATTTATCCTTCTCCCCTAAGGTAGAGGAAGCTTGATATGGGATATTTAATTAAAAGCTCAGAAGAAAAAGCAAAACTCAGGTGTTCAAACAAGCATCCAGAGCCTTAGCTCAGCTCTGACTTACCCCTGCCCTCCAAGCCCTTGGGTGGTAGGAGATAGATCAGAAAATACTTAGAAGACAGAACAGAAAATGCTTGTCTGTTAAACTGTTGCTCAGAGGAGATAACCGTCTGAGTTTTAGGTGAGGCAATCAAAACAAGCTATCCACCACAGCAAATAAAAGGTCTACAGAGCTGTTCACATTAAACATAAGCACGGTGAAAAGAATTGATATGGCAGCTGTAGGTACATATAATAATAAAGAGAAAGAATAAGTTAGAAAGCATTTATCTTAGTCTGGAAGAAGGTTACAGAACAAAATCCCCCATAAGTGTTTTATGCTATGGACAGTTTAATAAGAGCTTGAATTCATAAAACCAGATTCAAATATGAGCTAAAACAGAATAAAATAAAAAGGAAAATATAGAGCTAAGATAACAAATCAAGGGGCCAGCCCCGTGGCATAGTGGTTAAGTTTGCACACACTGCTGTGGATGCCCAATATTCATGGGTTTGGATCTCAGGCACAGACCTACACATCGCTCATCAAGCCATGCTGTGGTGGGATCCTGTATACAAAAGAGAGGAAGACTGGCACACATCTTAGCTCAGGGACAATCTTCCTCACCACAAAAAAAAGAAAGAAAGAAAACAAATCAAGAACATACATTATTACTGAGCTAATAAATGAATTTCAAGTAGCAAGGAATACGTGACACAGCTGAAAATGAAATTACTGACCTAGAAGTAAGGCTTGACTTAATCATGGGTGAATGGTGAAGTGAAAAACAAAAAGCAAGATAATAAATATTAAAGACAATGATGATCTATCATAAAGAAATTGGTATTCCTGAAGTAGAACCAAGCAAATGAACACAGAGTCTGAAGATATAAAATTGAATCTTCAGATATTCTAGGGAACATTGCTACAGGACAGTTGACATACTGACATTTTCTAGGAAACTTTTTGAACTTCAGTCTAATTAATTCTTGACCATTCTTCAGATCTCAGCTCGAATAACACTTCTTCGTAGGAAGCCTTCCGTGACTTCTCAGGTCAACCTGGTCCCTGTTATATACTCTCAGAGCACTGTGTGCTTTATCACAGTGTCTATTATAACTTTATTTTGTACATACTATAATTATTATTTCTGTCTTTCTTCCCTACTAGTTCTGTCAGGTCACAGAGTATCTTTTTTGTTCAGTAATCTTTACTCAGTTTCTAGCTCAGTGCCTGCATGTAGCAGGAGTCTCATGGATTCTTATTTAATAAATAAAGGAATGGATGAATACTGTTTAATTACTGTAGCTTTGTAAGATATTCTAATACTTTGATAAGGCTAGTCCCCCTCCTCATTACTCTTTTTAAATGAAGTGTGACACACCTAAATGGATATTTCATAATGAAACTTATGTCCATTTGAATGAGACTGTTGAATTATGATATTTATAGTCTTGTAAAATTAGTTTTTGGTCTCTGCTGCCTTGTTGTTAGAAAACAATGAATTGTATGTTCCTCGCTAATGTATTTCTTTTTCTCTCATTTTTTGGAACCTGCTAAGTTTGGAAGACTACTTGACCTGTGTCATCCTATTCATAAGAAATACCAGCTGGCTGTTACTAAACTTTTTGGTCGGTACATGGTTGCCATTGTTGTAGCGTCTGAAAAGGTAGCAAGAGATTGTATTCGATTTCTGAAGGAGGAAAGAGCTGAACCTGAGACATTCCTTGCTCTAGATTACCTTGATGTAAGAAATTTGTAATGTTTACTGTTTAGAAGTGATAAAATCTTGTCTTTTAAAGTATGTTTTTATTGCCTAAAACTATGGTAGTGATTGAAAAAAATCATAGCTTGGATGCCAGTTAGTCGTTTATTCAAATGGCTGGTGTTAATACAGTGGCAGGCAAAGAATAATATCAAGTGGGTGCTGTCTTTCTTGACTTCATGTCATTTCTTCCTAATCTAGTTTTGCCGTAAGTCTACCTTGATGACTTTCAGGACATTGCTCCAGCAGTGCACCTCTCTGCCAACTAGCTGGCAGTTTATTTTGTTCTATAGCAACATATAGGAGATGGAGGAGACATGTAGTCTGTCGGTGAGATGCCACCCCAGAGTCTCAGCTGTAAATATATGATCCAGCAAATATGTGTCAGCTCTTTATGGAGCAGGCTACATTTTGAGCCTTGAGATAGGTATTGAGAGGTCTTAGAGTATTCAGAATCTAAATTCCTGAGGCATGAACTCTGTCATTATCACAATTGATATCCTTCAGTGATTTTTTAATTGCCTCTTAAAGAAAATGTTCTCCTTGGTCCAGCTGTCAAGACCCTAAACTGCAGGCAGGTTGTATAGTGGTTAAGAGCACATGCCTCACAGTTAGACTGACCTGAGTTTGAGTCTCAGCCCCATTTCCAATTAGTTCTCACTAATTTGTTCTCAGTTTTTCTGAGCTTCAGTTTCTTCATCTGTGAAGTGGAGGAATTAGTCCTTACCTTATTGGTTTATTGCAAGGAGTCATTACATGTAGAGCACCTAGCACAGTGCCTGGTACAGAGGAGGGGCTCAGCAAACACTAGCTGGGTACTAATGGTCCGGACTTGCCTTTTGTACTTCCATACTTTTGCCTATACCCGCTGCCCACTAAAACTACTTAACCTAATTCATTTGCCTATTAAAATCCTGTTTTACTTATTTCATGCTTAAGATTTTTTCAAGGCACACCTATTTTTTAAGAATCTAATCTAATACAGAAGTGTATGAAATATAAAGGAAATGCTCCTACCCCTTCTCAATGCCCAATTCCTTAATCGTATCTACTTTAGATTGCTTCCATACCTACAAATTTACATAAATATATACTCCCAGTTATGTATATGTACACACATTTTGGTTGTATATAGAGCTCCTGCTTTTTTTTATTTTACAAAAATAAGATCATACTTGCTGTTTTTCAATAATGCATTGCAGACACTTTTTTGATCTATTTATAGACCCAACGTAAAAGTCATGTCAAAGAAGGTCTGAAGGCTTTCCTGATCATTTAAGCCTAAAATGATTTTTTGAGTTCCATAATGTTATGTTATTCTTTTGACACATATGTAAATAGATTTTGTCTCCTACTAGATTTTATGATTTTGAGAACATGGAGCACTTCTCATGCATTGCTTTGTCCCAACTAGTGACAGAGTTGAATCAGGAAATTGGATCTTCTGGCTTTTGATGAAGTGTACTTTTTAAAAATATTACATGAGCCAATGGTGGGATATAGTTCATCAGGTTCTTGTCAAACTTTTATTGTATATAAGTGCATACTATTAATCTCTTGCCGTCACACATTTTTTTTTTGAGAAAGAATGTACTGAGTAACTGATTTTCATTTTAATCTGTCTAATGTATCAAGTATTTTTTAAACCTTTTAGATCAAGCCAATCAATGAAAGATTAAGGGAGATTAAAGGCTGTAAGATGATGATAGATGTCATAAAGACTCAGTTTCCTCAGCTGAAGAAAGTAATTCAGTTCGTGTGTGGGAATGGCCTTGTCTGTGAGACTGTGGAAGAAGCAAGGCATATTGCATTCAATGGACCTGAAAGACGGAAAGTAAGAGGCTTAGATTGCACTTTTGGATAATTTGAAGCTGTATTTAGAAAACTAACATATCACACACACACAATTATTTATATATGCTTTTTAAAATGTTCCCTTTTATAAGGAAAACTTAGATAGAATCTAAGATGGTTATGACTTCAGTAGTTTTTATAATGTTCAGTTGAGTTTTCAAAATATTAACTTCTGTAGCATTTTCCAATATCATAAATTATATTTTGGAAATTAGATTTATTGTCATAAGAGCCTTAAGCAGTTAATTTTTTTTTTCACTTTATATGCAATACATGTCCTTGCTGAATCTCGGATTTTCCCTGTGTTTGCATATGTAATACATATGTTTCTGAATACTAGGAAAGACTTTAGGTGCTTATTTTACATTCTGGGTTAATTTTTCCATAGGTTAATGGAGATACTAACTGTCTTTTTATATATTCAAGGTTTTAACACATTTGAACTTATAGAAATAGCACAATTGAAATGAGGATACTGACTACTAATCTCTTGAGGGAATAATTTTGGTTTTGAACATAAATGCTATTTTACTCTCAGTTGAATAGAGTTTGTATTTAGTTCAGCAATGTTAAATTCCTCAAAATACCTAATAAAGTTTTTTTTTAGCTACATTTATAGTGAAGTGTTACATAGTGCCTAGGGGCATAAGCTATGAAGTAAGACCAGTGATGCTACTTAGTGATTAATTATGTAACTTCAGGCAAGTTTCTAAGCCTTTAATTGTAGTTTTATCATCTAAAATTAGGGAAATAATAGTACCTATTTCATAAGTTATAAGAATTAAATTACATAATAACATGCAAAATCTGTTATAGTGCCTAGCAAATAGCTCTCAAAAAGTGGTATTCATTTTTTTGTTTACTAATCAATTAACACATTTGATCTTGAATGTCTAGAATTGCACTTAACACAAAATAGGCTATTTTTATGAAAGGTAGGAATTTTCAGTGTTAAATGTATTGACTTGTGTAATATGATTAACTGCTCATACATTTTAGGACTTTTGTCAATAATAATCTTAATGATAATGCAGTCACTGTCTGAGTAATCACCATCATTGATTTCTACATATTAAATTTAAGCAGGTGCAGGCTCAGCTCTATGGCAGAGTGGTTAAAGTCTGTGTGCTTTGCTTTGGTGGCCTGGGTTCACAGATTTGGATCCCGGATGCAGACCTACTCCACTCACCAGCCATGCTGTAAGAGGCGTCCTGCATACAAAAAAATAGAGGAGGATTGGCACAGATGTTAGCTCAGGGCTAATCTTCCTCAAACGAAAAAAAGAGGAGGATTGGCAGCAGATGTAGCTCAGGGCAGATTGTCCTGAGCAAAAAAAAAAAGAAAAAGAAATTAAACAGGAGTAATAAGTGAGCTACTAAGGTATCTTATTTTGCTACCTAATTATGCTAAAGTTGACTTTTGTATATTTCTAAAATATATTTTATAAAATTGATTTTTGAAGTTTTGTGTGGTCAATTTAAAGAAGTCACATGAAGATAAGACTATTTATTTCTTCCTTCAATCAACATATGTTTATGATTTATATCTTGTTCACAGTAACATGCCTTACCCCTTTAGGCTGTATCTTGTTCTTACCATCATTTCAAAATTTTAATGAGCTTTATTTGTCTTACTTGTATCTTAAGGTATACTCCACGGACTTTTATCTCCTTCCTGTTATTATTATTCCACTTAAAGAATTTTCTCTGTGTTTTAGGATATGTAAAACATTTAGATAGATGTCACATTTTCACAGAATCATCTTTTGTCTTCAATTTGTGCTTTTGATTTTCTGTGGACTTGATATCTTTCCATAGACTTGATAGCATGTTCTAGAATTTTCTTTATTCAAACACTGCAAGTGATGTCACAAAATGATATATTGGTTAGTTAATAAGCTACATACAGTATGTATAAACTACATAGTATAAGTTATAGCAATTCTGGCTATAGTTTGGTCATCAAGATTTTTATGATAACTCAATTTTTAAATATTTTTGTAACAAAATTTTAAAACCTGGAATCTCTTTAAACACATGTGATTATTCCATCCATTTCCCTTGACCAGAGAAACAACAATTATTTGCTTCTTTTTCCCATAGACTGTATGGTGTTACTACAAAACATATATAGAAATATCTGTTTATGCTCTGCCCTTTTGCTATGGTGTAGGAAAAAACAGACCTAGAAAAATGTCATTAACTAGCTGGATAATTTGTGAAAAGATCGTTTTTCCAAAAATTACCCACATTAAACAAGAGAAAGTGAAAATGCAGAGTACAGTAAGTTGGAAAAATTGGATACCATCTGGAATAAATATAGTTGAATCTAAACTTCATACCTTATATCAGAATATATTCCAGATGGATTAGAAATGTAAATGTAAAAGTGAAACTTTAAGGGTACTAAGAAAAACCATGGGAAATTTTTTCTCAGAGATAGTGAGGCCTTTCCAATGTGACAAAAATCCCAAAAGCTGTAAGAGATGGGTAAATTAATATAAACATAAAAATTTGTGCATGGCAAAAGCCAGCATAAGCAAAATCCAAAGACACAGCAAACCAGGGAAAATATTTGCAACTCAGAGTGAAGAGAAAATTTTCCTACAAATCAATAAGGAAAAGAACAAAAATAAAGTGGAAAAATGGACAAAAGATTTGAATAAACTTATTTTCATAAAAGGAAATATAATTATTCATAAATATGAATGCTTATCTTCACTTAAAATATGGGAGATGCCCGTTAACTATCGTGAAATTGGCCATGTGCAGGCTGCAGTTGGGAAAGCACCATCACTCTGAGGGGCGTGTTGAAGAGGGTTTCCCAGTCCCAAGTCAGGGAAACGGTACTCTTTTTTGTTTGTTTGTTTTTTGAGGAAGATTAGCCCTGAGCTATCTACTGCCAGTCCTCCTCGTTTTGCTGAGGAAGCCTGGCCCTGAGCTAATATCTGTGCCCATCTTCCTCCACTTTATATGGGGGACGCCTACCACAGCATGGCGTGCCAAGTGGTGCAATGTCTGCACCCAGGATCTGAACCAGCGAACCCTGGGCCGCTGAGAAGCAGAATGTGCACACTTAACCACTGCGCCACTGGGCTGGCCCCAGGAGGAGGTACTCTTAAAGCCCTGCACCGCACCCACAGGAAGCTGCTTTAATGGTTAGGCCTACTTGGTACCAGGCTCTTAGCTGGGAAGGACTTTGAAGACCATTCGGTTCAACTTCTAACTTGCAGATGTGGAAACTGAAGCCCAGAGAGGGTATGCAACTTGTCCAAGGTTCCACAGCCAGTTGCATTTAAAAACAGTATGAATAGAGTAGTGACATCAGCACATTATGGTGGAGTGAGCTCTTCCCTTAGACTCTCCCTGCTAAGATCCAATGAAAAGGACACTCATAAACCAACAGAGGACATTCGCACAATGCAATAGATGTCTGAGAGATCCATGCAGCCATACGTCTGAAGGTGGAGGTGCTCAGCCCCCTGGGAGGCAGTGGAAGGAGGTAAGGGGATCTCCTTTCCCTCCCTGAACAGATGTAATCTAGGGCATGGGACCACATGTGGCTCTAAGAGGAGAGGGGAGAAAGAGCAACACTCTGCAGGAATGCCTCCTCTCTCAGAGTTGCCTCCCAACCCATGGGAAGGCTAAGCAATCACGGGGATGTCTTCACCAAGCCAAGCAGCCCAGGAAGGCAGACAGTGAGGACATAACAGAAGTGCCCCCAGGATCATACACGTGAAGGAAAGTGCCCCTCCCCCACCTGGCACAACAGCTTGACTGGTTGGCCAAAGCAAAGGACCACCAACAGAGCTCCTGTGTGCCTATATGTGTAAAACAGAGGCCAGTGGGCAAATGTAAATGGGCGCTGTTAGCACAGCTTCAAAAGGACAGGCACAGCTGCCAGGGATCACAACAGGCGCACAATACACAGCTCCCATCTCCTGCCCAGTGGCAGCAAGTGGAATCTGCAACCAAATACTACCACTATGCAACAACACAAATCCACCCCATCAAATAGTATGAAGAGGTATATTAATGCTCTAGACCATAAGGAAAATGACAAGTACCCAGAAATCAATCCTGAAGTCACAGAAATGTACAATCTAAGTGACAGGGAATTCAAAGTAGCTATCACAAAAACATGAGGAACCAGCCCCATGGCTGAGTGGTTAAAGTTCCTCACTCCACTTCAGCAGCCTGTGTTCACTTGTTCAGATCCCAGGCACGGACCTACTCCACTCATCAGCCATGCTGTGGAGGCATTCCATTTACAAAATAGAGGAAGATTGGCATAGATGTTAGCTCAGGTCTCATCTTCCTCAAGCAAAAAAAGGGAAGATTGCCAACATATGTTAGCTCAGGGGGAATCTTCCTCACCATAAAAACCTCAAAACAACAAAACCCTCAAGGAGTTGCAAGAAAACTCAGAAAGATAGTTCAATGAAATCAGGAATAGGATTAATGAACAGAGAATTCGTCACAAAAGAGACTGAAACTAAAAAAAATCAGAAATGTTGGAGATGAAAAACACAATGAATGAGATAAAAATCTGGAATCTGTAATAGTACTGATAGAGGACAGAATTAGCAACTTAGAGGACAGAAATATAGAAATGCTTCAAATGGAGGAGAAGAGAGAACTAAGACTAAAAAGAAATGAAGAAATTCTCTGAGAAATATCCAACTCAATTAGGAAATGCAACATAAGGACTATAGGTATTCCAGAGGGAGAAGAGGGAGAGAAAGGAGCAGAGAGCTTGTTCAAAGAGGTGATAGCGGAGAGCTTCCCAAACCTGGCTAAGGAGCTGGAAATACAAGTAAAGGAAGCCAATAGCACTCCTAATTACATCAATGTAAAAAGACCTTCTCCAAGGCATATAAGTAAAATTGGCAAAAGTCAATGATAAAAAATATTAAGGGCAGCAAGGCAGAAGAAAATAACCTACAAAAGAATCCCTATCAGGCTTTCAGTTGATTTCTCG